ACTTGTGTTGTTTCAATCAGCTCAATAACATAATAAAAAGTAATGCTTTTCCAATTAGCTTTTATTCCCTGCTGTGAATATTGCATGTAATGTTAGATGATTACGCGTCCCAGAGGTTACCATGTGTGACTCTGGGTATGGAGTCAAGATTAGAAGAAAGTTTCAATTCTGCATGAGCGTCTGCACTACAAACGAAACAAACGAAGCATTAGGGAAACTTACACAGGGACTTTTGCAGCTTCACATAGATTTCAGATGTTTTTTCCTTCTAATTTGTGTCTTACTTATTATTTTAAATGTAGATCGATCCAAGAAATTGTTAAATTGTAAAATATTATATTAGATTTAGCATCTAAACATTATTATGAGCATCTTATTAGATAAACGACTGAAAAAGGTCACATCAGAGTTTGCCTTATCAGTTACATTTCTTCAAAGAAAGAATAAATGAAAAGCATTTGAAAATGCTACATTGTAGCTCATCACCACCAGTGTGTGTGTGTGTGTGTGTGTGTGTGTGTGTGTGTGTGTGTGTGTGTGAGACAGATTGTGTTGAAAAGCACCTTTAGGGGCTTAGCACTGTAGAAGGCGCTATATCAGAAACAGGCTATTTTTTCCAATTTCTAGTTTACTTGTTTAAGTTTAATTGGTTTGTCAAATTGCAATGTTCCACTTTAGTCATTTACCATTTTTGTGTGTTTTAATAGAACTGCTCTGTCATTAAATTTAAAACTAATTATATTTAAGTTTGATATAATATCAAGAAATCTCATTGAGTATTTCAACACAATTATTCTTCGAGGTGGAAAACACGCCATTTTCATCTTCAAAAATAACAAACAAACAAACAAACGAGCACTGGTAATGCTGCATCATGGCTCAGTCAGAATTAAGTGAACTCCGAGCACAAGACTGAAGTACCCCCCACAGGGCCCCCGAGGGCTACGGTTGAACGCCTTCTCCATATCCACAAAACTCCTGTAGATTGGTTGGGTGAACTCCTACGCACCTTCCAGGACTGCCCTAAGGGTATAGAGCTGGTCCAGTGTTCCACGGCCAGGACAAAAATCACATTGCTCCTCCTGAATCTGACGTTTGACAATCCGCCAGACCCTCCCCTCCAGAACCCCGGAATAGATTTTACCAAGGAGGCTCAGAAGTGTGATACCCCTGTTGTTGGAACACACTCTTCGGTCCCCCTTTTTAATTAATGAAATTGACCAAAATTTGAAAAATCCAGACTATAAGTAAACGTCAGATAGATCAACAGCTTGTGGTCAGTCCGATACTTTTCTTCATTGTTAGTCTGCAACCCTTCAACAACCCTTAAATGATAAATGACCCGCACTTGTAGAGCACCTCTCTGAGTAAGGACTCCAAAGCACTTTACACTACAGTGTATCATTCATCCATTCACACACACACATTCACACACTGATGGTGATGAGCTATGATGTAGCCACAGCTGCTCTGGGGCACACTGACAGAAGCAGCATATACAAACAGCCTGTCTTTGTCACACCCCATTCTTGCCTCAGTGCTTCAGTGGGGACATTTTTTTTTCTTTTCAGAACTTTATGAAACAAATTAACATTATACAAGATCACAAATGTACACAACATTGAACACATAACATGGGTAGTGGTGCAAACACATCAAATGAGTTATATGTAGTGCAAATAATAATTGTTTTTTTAGCCTTCTGTTAAAAAACATCCATTAATGAATGTTATATAAGACTTGAGTGGGAACTTACTGAGAAACTCAAACTGTAGTTTCTGCTTTCACTTGTCTCTCTTCAAACCCTCCAACACACACACACACACACACACACACACACACACACACACACACACACACACACTTACAGACACACAGACACATACAAATTCTAAGACACACACATACACACTAGTCTAACATTCATTGTGAGGACCGTCATTGACTTCCCCTTAATTTTAGCGACTGGATTGTGCCTAACCCTAACCGCACCTCTAACCGTAACCAGCCTATTCCTAACCCTAACTTTAATCACAACTTAATTCATACCACACCTCTAAAAATAACCAGTAGAGCATTGTGGCATTGTCCCAAAGTGAGGACCAGCAAAGTGTCCTCGGTTTGCAGGTAAAACACTTGTTTTTGTCCTTACTTTGATGCATAGAACAGTACACACACACACACAAACACACACACACACACACACACACACACACACACACACACACACACACACACACACACACACACACGTGGGGGGAAACAGGTCTTTTTATAATGAGCCTTGTGTGTTTTGGTTGGCCTTTTCGCATGGCTCCTGGGACATTTTAAGCTCCAACAAAATTTTATATGCATTCTAGGTCTCCTTTAAGTTAATCGTTTTACAAAGTAAGATTCATAGTCCAGAAGTTGTGTTTGCATCCTTCTTGAGTTTCCTGAAGTCAGTTATTCAGCAAGTTTCAGCAGGTCGAAGGAAAAAACTACAATGACCTCCAAGTAACAATGTTAAGCCCCTCATCTAAAGGCAGCACCAAGGTGATAAATGTGAAATGGCTTTGAGCATTCCAGTACTGTGCATAAAGCAATCCCCAAACCAAGCCAAGTTGTTGACAGGAGTCATAATGAGCAGATTGTTTGATGATCTTTGTAAATGTTCATTTTAATATTTACTAGAAACCAAGACCCCATGAAGAGTTTCTAATGAGGCGTTTTATGCAATTATTTATTCATAGATTTGGACAATCATCTAGTGTTCCTGAGAAACAACATCAAGTGGCATCTGAGAGAAAAATAAAAATGAAAGCTGAAGTGGAAGTCAGACAAGTGAAGCAGGTTAAAAGAAACTGTCACAGAGGGAGGTGATTTACTCTCATTAAATATCCCATTTCCTTGCGAGCAGCAAAAGCTGGGAGCTTGAAAAAGATCAGATGACTGAAAAAGAAGTAGTTGCAGTTAGAGCAACTCAGCTCTTCAAGAAAGCTCAGCTCTCCCCAGATTGGCTGGGGTTCCTCTCTTTTCATGACTTGCCAGAAGAGGTGCGCTCACACACACACACACACACACACACACACACACACACACACACACACACACACACACACACACACACACACACACACACACACACAGTAGTGGGGGAACAGTAGACAAGACTCTCACAATGCTATTTCCTCCTTTGACTTTTTTCTTCTCCATGAAATGACTCAAATACAAAGAGCTGAAGGGATGAAGCTTGATTATAAATTCCCTTCCACTGCTAAATGTGTCATGCCAGCCAAATGTCAAAGGATATTCTGTCACACAATACTGAGCTGACTGAAAATGTCAGAGAGAAAGCATCAACAAGAGCATGGGGAGGAAACAAAAGCAGGAAACTGGCGCACGTGTGTTTGTGTGACTCAAAGATGGCAGAGCACCTGCCATCATTATCTTGCCTAATGATGGGGAATTCGGTTTGAACTAATGTTCCTCCGTGGTCGTGACCGGTTTTCTTTGTAACTAATTCCACTTTGAACTGCTTCATCCATCTCTGTCATCAGATCAAACATTTGGAGGCTAAAATCACACATTTGGCAACGATCTGAAGGTCTGTCACTGTAAACTTTGGCAACATATCAAACATCATACCAACTTTACCAACAACATAACTTTGTACTAACCAACAGAATCAGAAACTGAAAACTCAAATTTAGAGAAGGTTTTAACTTTAGAGATGTTAACCTTTCTTTTCAGGTTAAACATGCTAAATCCTGACCTCACATAAAAATAATGTCTATAAATAAAGGGGACATATGAAACAAACTTCAGTTTTCGCATCACTGCTATGTGGGTCTACTTCCTCTAAACTTAAAAAAAATGCAACCATCAATTTTCCGTTTGGTTTTAGAAATAAAGGCCTTAAAACAAGCCGTTTCAAAATGCCCCCATTTGTGACATCACAAAAAGGGACTTATGCTATGTTCACACAGCAGGTCTTGATGCTCAATTCCAGTTTTTTGAGTAAATCTGATTGTTTTGTGTGGCTGTTCACACTATGACTGAAATGTGACGTCAAACTCTATCCAGCGTGAGCGCTTCACGACCCCAAAGCAACCCGCATGCACAGAAGAAAATAAGTCACAGTGGAGAAACCAGGAGCGGCGGAGTTGTGCAATGCCCTGCTTGAGTTGTGGTGTGAAAGCCTTCACTGACAGTTTATCCACAGGATCAGGATCACACCTCTTAATTCTTCTGTTTTGGGCTGGAAACTGTTTTAAAAACTGTAAACTATTTTGCTCCTTGTTCCTGTCATCTTCCTGAATTATTATTAACCAAAAATCTTCCTATAATAATTCATTGTCACACCCCCCCCCCCCCCCCTTACGAACACCGGTGAGACGCTTCGCTTTGCTCCAGCAGCACCTCTTGCATACTCTATTTTTAATTCCAAAACTTAAAATGGGATGTCCAGACAGACTCCTGAACCCTTCTGTCAGCGTTTCCCCTCAGGAACATCCACACACACACGACACTCATCTCCACTGACGCAGTGACGTAGGAGACAGATTTAATGTGACATGAGCGTTCAGACTGCAGTCACTTTCAAAAACATCCGATATGTTTTTGTAAAGTGACTGCTAAAATCACTATGTGAGAGCAATCTAGTGCGAAGAGCTTCATGAACATGTATGGTAATAACCATGGAAATATAACTTTAGAGAAAAAGTCATATTTCCCTGTATCGCAGATGTATGAAGTTTAAATAGACCATGACTCCTGTCGTTTTGTTGCAGTCCAAGTTAATTATCTGTAACTGTAACAACTTTTGTCACATCAAAACTCATCAAGCAATGTTGACCAAGACACAATGAATGACAAATGGTCACAACTGATTCATTACTGTACATGTAACAAATGGTCTTTGTAGGTAAAAAATATTTTAGGTGTTCTACTTTAGTTTTACTTGTTTTTTGTTCTTTAGGAAACATTGATTCCTTTATTACTGGAAATGTCACACTCACCAAAGGCCGTGTAAAACTCTTCTTTTGTCAGGTGCTCATCATCGTTGACATCATTGTACTTCAGCAGGTCAAACAATGTGCACTCAGAGAAATCCTTGGAAAAACCTTCATGCTTGATGACCTTCAATGAAAATGCACACAACTTCTGTTAAAGAAAGTGGGCAAAGCTGTCTAGACTGATTGTGCTAATTCTGTAAAAGCTATGGAAAGGACGCAGTACAGAAAAATACCACTAGCAGTAAAAACCCAACTTACAAAGTTTTATCGCAGAAAATATTTCTCCATGTTGGACATTGGTATTTAAAAGAATAAGCAGGAGCTTTACAATTCATATGCAAGGCACTATGAATACACATTTACATACTTCAGTGATGATATTACACTACTGTTTTGGGTGAAATTAAACAGGTGTTTATTGTTAAATAACAAAATTATGTACCCATAGAAAATATATGATTTTTATCAAAGCATAATTGAAAATAGTTTCAGTTTTCAACTGTGGAACAAAAACCTGGATTAAGTCAAGGTAAGAAAGCAATGCACTAAATTAAATTGTTCTGCATGTTAACACACACACACACACACTAAACGGGGTGGGGTGGGGGGGGGGGACTAGATCTTGTCACGACATTCACTTTTGTTTCAGTAATGCTAAACCAACAGGCTCCTCGTCCTGGGTCAAGGTTGGTGAATCTGTGAATGTGATGTGAAGTAGATCTGTCAATCTTTTCAAATCCTAGATTGTCCCCGTCTATTCTCTGTCAGAAACTAATGCAGGAGATTTGTGTAGAAGACCATTTTCATGTTCAGCCCGCATGAAAACTCAGAGACTGATTATAATCATGAATACTTATTTAAAAATGTGTTTTCAGTGAACTACACCTTTAAACGGTTAAATCGTTATGCTAACTTACTTTAACCAGCAGTAGTAGAGCACGTGGATTTCTGACTTTTTTTTTTGTAAATTTGAATCTGTAAAGTTTAGGAACCACTGCTTTAAAGTAATATTTTGTGTTGTTTACTGTTTATGGTACCACACTCTCATGGCTGTGCTTCTGTGCATTTCAACAAAGATAGTTTTGGGCTGTCTACTTTAAAAGGTCAAGATATCTGAGTTTCTGTTCATCGACCTGAAACTCACTGACATTTAATCAATGGCGTGTGAAGAGAGCTAAATATCTGTGTTTTTCCTACTCTTTATTTTTAACTCGACTAAAAACATGATCATGCCCAACAGCCCTGGTGTGGTTGTTGCCAGTTGAACATCCATCATACAAGATGATCATCTGTCAAGACGCTGATCACAAAGGACAGCTTCATACATCCTGACTTGTCCACCACCAGATCAGAGTACTTTTCTTTCAATGCGACTTTCCCAGAACTTCGGGTAGTCCTTTGCAATGACTCATTAAATTTCATTAAAACAATAAAACTGCAGCACAAAAATAACAAGTCTTAAAAGATTTTGAACAGTCTGCTCTTATTTGTATAACAAAATGTATTGTTCTGCATTTATATGTAACAATATATCATTCATATTCCGTAAATAATGTTTACAACATTTACTTTGGGTGAAAGTAGTTATGTAAATAAAGAGATTTATTTCATGCATTAAAATGTATTGAAACTCAAAAAACTGGTTCTTCTTTGATTCTTAGGCTGACCTTTAGGAGAAGTGTTTGTGGGTTTGAGGCAGTGGTTCTGTAAGGCAAGGAAAGAAATGCCAGAAAGGTTGTTTGGTCACTGTTTTATCTCATATATCTCATTTATCTTATATCTAAAGTAAATATATTAAACAGTGAAAACAGGGACCTTGTAATTGCTCAGTGACTCTCAGCACACTGATGTGATAACTAGATGTAATGTTTATTGAAACCGCGGCTCCTGTCTGTTTCAAATTGATCCTTGATTTTCAAACCCGATGGTACATTGGCTGATTAATCAGATAAAACATCTCTCCCACAATTGGCAACTACAATGAGCTTTCAATGCTGCTGATTAATTTGGACATTTTGCTAATTACACAAAACGTATTCATGTAGACATTATAAAACTTAGCTTCAATGTATTTAAACATAATCTAAATAAGACAATAAGACACTTAAAAGATGGTGACACATTTAGTTCAGGAAACATTTTAGGTAACTGTTAGCTGGATTTAATTAGTGAGCAGCAGAGGTAGTTTACCAAAGTTTCACTGTGGGTAATCATGTTGTGACTTTGATACTTCAGAGAGTAAATCAGTCACTATCCTGGCTGCCTGCATTATTGTTGGCTCTGTTGAACACTAAACCCAAAGGCAAACAAGGGAGGATACAACATTTGTAGACAACAACAACAATGCTGACATTTTCTGATCAAGGAGATGCACATCCACTACGGCTTTTACTCACTAAGTTCTAGTATGTGGTACACAGTTCAAATTCTTTTATTTTGTACTTTCAGAAACCATTCAAACCAACTGTTCAGGAGTTCTTGCACTTAGAAGACTACTGGATATCAGGTTCGCACTTATAATAATAATAAATAAAATAATCATCAAACTTATATAGCGCTTGTTTAGGACACATTTGCATGCACTCTCACATTCAAACACTGCCAGTGATGGTAAGCTACTTTGTAGCCACAGCCGCCCTGGGGCGGTCTGACAGAGGCGAGGCTGCCATTTGGCGCCGTCGGCCCCTCTGACCACCACCAACACACTTATGAAATACTCATTTCATTTAACTTCAAATGACAAGAGTAGTCACTAGAGTTTTGTGTTTATAAATGCTAAAAATATTACAGAATATCAGAACAGCTGAGATTTAGCTTGTATGAATTTCATAGCACGTTTGTCTGTGTTAGGTCAATATGAGGCATGGCCATATATAATAAAATATTAGATTATTGATTTTAAAATAATAAAAATAATGTAAACCTAAAAGATAGTTAGTGTTTCTAAACCTCAAAAATTAACAATAAAAACCACTTGATTTTTTTTTCAGTAAAAACCTTGAGGTTTGTGTAGTCCACTGATGCATATGTCCCTTTCATGTAAAAAAAAATATAACATGCAAAATAAAATTGAACTAAAGTTTTATCTGGCCTACATACATGCAATATGATGGTGAAGTGGTCAAGTACAGCCTGACAACAGTATTAGCGTTGGGAAATCAGTTCAACACAATATTCAATAAAGTACAAAAGATATATCTTCACTTTAAAAGAGACAGAGTGTATTTTCCCTGGCAATAGGGGGCAATATATACCTAAATGATTGCAAGCAAGCATTACTTTTGTGCTCAAGTAAGACCTTACCAACGGATGGCCATTAGGGTCAAAAATCCTTGGAATTGCAACCTCCAGCAAAATAACAACAATATCAGATTCCCTTTCATCACTGGCAAAGAGTGAAGAGGTAAATGTGTAAAACAACATTCATGATTGGTGAACATTTTGTAACCATTTGCTACAAATCAGTAAATGTGTCTTGTCCTTATGGGCTTCCGTAGAAGGAAATATGACATCCAATATGGCGTTGCCCAGAGACTTAGACCCCCTCCCATGTATTTTAGATCAGTTTTTTATGGTTATATGTCATTAAACAGCCAAGATTTTTCAACAACTGGGCATCTTTTAATTCATTTACAACAACATTTTGATGGACATTTCCTGAGATTATTGGTAAAAACTACACACCATCATTTTAAAGTTGAGACTTGATGATTTTTGTCTAAACAAACGATTTTTTTTCACAATGGATTTCCCTCACTACGCATCAATTTGTCTTGTGTTGACATTGATTGTATGATATGTAAAATTAATATATATGCATATTATGTAGGTAATATTTAAATGCCTAAAGCTCGAAACACTTAAATGTGTTTCAATCATGTTTAGAAATCCTGCTTTGTGAACAGTGGGCACTGACAACATGAACCTCAGTACAGATGGAGTTTTCTAGTGAATCAGCTGGAAGATAGCACAAGAAAAGCAACTAACATTCAAGTTTGCTAAACCACTGCAGGGAACGCATCTCTTTAAATTATTCAAATATGGTGCATAATAAATCAGTCTTCAGGTGCACAGAGACTTTGTTATTCTAAGAATATCGTATTTCCTCATGCCAGCCACAAAAAGCTGCTTTTACAACATTCCTCTTGGTAGTGCTGGTAAAAGGCTGTGGCCTCTCATGAGTGCATGTCTTTTTTTGACCTACATTGCTTTTCAAAAAGTTTCCCTAAAGCCAAGCATCACGGTTATCAGAAGGGAGAAAAAGAGGAATAAGTCTACAAGATAAAGTCACACATGAAAGCACCTAGATCAAACCCACTGGCACTTTAACTGGTTATTTACATTACTGCTCTCATGCTTTTATCAATATCAGAGTCAATACCAATATATTGTTATAATCTTCAACAACACTATTAGTTAAAATTGGAAATAATAAAGACATGAGATATTCAAATTTTAAAAGATGAAAAGTTATAAAACATTAAACCAAGAGCATTGATTATATTGCTTCTCTTTTGTGTTTTTATGATTATGACAATGACAGAAACAGAATTAGGCCCACCTAATGATTGGTTTTTATATTTTCACAAACCCACTTATATAACCTCACAGTGACTCTGTCCCTTCGTCTCTCATCAGACTAGACAGCTAGGAGTGATGATGAGCAGTAATAAAGGAGTTTTGTTTATTGGAAGGGGAACATTAGCCTGAAGATAGGGATGTTAAATTAAAATGATGTGGATTTGTCACAATGAGAAAGCTTTAGTTTGTCTTTATTCAATTAACAGACAAATAACCCACAAAGATGTGTTTAATCAGCTGCTGGACTCTGCATGTTTCCTAGTAAAACTTCACTGCTGCTTGTCTTTAGTTCAAGCTGGTTGCATTTACATCAAGCAGGTGGACGTATCAGCCACTTTCACCACTAGGTAAGAGAAAGCAGGCTGTTGTCAGATCATGTACCATTTAAATAGTTTGTAGAATAACTGCTCAGCACAAAGCCAGGCTGTAACAACTTGATAATGATGAAGACCCACTCACCACCACCTAGTAAAATATTGTTGTGGCAGTGTTTGCCGAACATCTCACAACTGTAGATGTAAGCTTTTATTTTATGCTGCTAGTATTGAACATCGCAAAGTGGAAAAAATGAACAAAAATAGCTGGTTGATATAAGAACCTAACTCTTTGCAGTATTAGTGGGATTTTTATTCACTTCCTGTACTTGTTGTGGACTGCTTGTCCAGGTGTGGGTTGGTCAGCAATCCTAGCGAGAAAGCTTCTGCCAGCCCTTCCGATGATCAGTTTAAATTTTAGTGTGAGCGAGGCTTAAGGCTAAGCCGGTCACCCCGCAGAAGGGACTAATTTTGACCACTTCTAATAGCAATCCTGTTCTTTTGGTCAAACAAGTCAAAAAGTGGAATTTTTAAATACGGTTACCAGCTGTAAACCTGATTTCTCCACATGGAATAATAAGCATTCCAAAATTCTGCCAAGGGCCAGCTTTGTTTTTTCTATTAGACATTTAAATGAAGATATGTAAACAGCTTAAAATAATCAAGAGACTTTAGTTGTAATGCTTGATCCCAGAACCATTGGAAGTACCTGGGGAACTGTATAAACGGTGCACAGAAGAGATTTTAGTATCTGGTGTTCAAAAGTTAACGAACAAGTTAAATCATTATCAGATGCGTAAAAACTAATGTAAAAAACTGCCAAAAGATGAGTGGTTCAATCACATCGCAATATAGTTTCCAAATAGTGGAAACAAAAATACAGAGGTAAATATTTTGAGAACCTGAAATGGAAACTTGTTCAACAATGTGCTCATGGATATTTAAGCAAAACCAGTGAAGTCTCTATTAAATATGTAAGCAACAGAGGGTATTACACTGTGGAAATTTGATTAAAATGTCAAGTTTATATTCTGTTTGTAGACTTATTTTACTGCTTTTTTAATAGTTACCACAACAGGTTGTACTTGGTAAATTTATCATTTTCTGAGGTGTAACTCGTACTAATTTTGAGAAGCACAGACATGAATCATTAAAAAGCAATTATATGTTTTGCTTCTGTACATTCATAAGATTTTGAAAGCATAAGTCAAGGTAAAGGTTTTATTTTATATCTCTTTTAGCTTTACTCACCTGTGAGAGCTCACTTGCATCGACCTGACCATTATCATCTGCATCAAAGTGTTTGAACATCAGATCAACCAGTTGCTTCTTAGCAACCATGCTGTCCTTGTGGAAGCCACGGAGAGCTGATCCCACATATCGTTTGTCATGCAAATCCAAAATCTTGGTTTTCAGCCGACGATAATCAGTCAATCTGCAGTCATCATCTATGAACAAAGGGGAAAAAATACCAAATAAAAGGGGATTAGAAGTAAGGTTAATTACAAATACTTTATAAATATATATAAAATACACCTACATATTGACAAATGCATATAATGGACAAGTTAAATAAACACAGGTTTGTCTTTTAAGCGTGGATGTCGATGATGCAAATGTTTGCGTATAAGTACCTAAACAAACTACAGCTCCCCTGTAGACCTACATTATCAACAATGAGCTCTTGTTTACATAAATCAAAGCATGACTATACGTGCCTGCCTCATAATAACAACTGTAAAGAGATTATTTTCACAGGAGAACACAAACGCCCACATTCACACAGCCTCTTATTACCTCAAACTAAAAACAGTGCAGCCTGATAAACACAGGTAAAACTGATGATCAAATCCATCACATAGGTGTCAAAAACAAACTCTGCAACAGAAAACATGATCATGAATACAATCGGCCATCAAAGCTCCATAGCAGAGAAGTTGACTAAATAAAAGGTTCAGCAGAGCACCGAAGCTGTAGCCAAACAGAAACTAAGGACAGGAACTCAGGGTTTACATGTGTCAAATGAAGGTTTACATGTCAAATGAATTTATCTTAATTTCATCTGGAAGTGCATCTTTTCTAATATAAGTTTCATTAGCTTGATGTCAACCAGCACACACATGCACACAAAAAGTGTTGCTCACTCAAAGGCTCTCCAGCTCTCACAAAAGAATGATTTGTCACATTCTCCAATGTGATCAGCAGCTATGAATAATGCCTAGTGCATGACGTCTTGTGCAAGACAAATGTACTTTGTTCAGGATGATCAAGCAGGAATTATTTGGTGAGTATGCTACTGATGTCTCTCCTCAGTGAAAGTGGGAGCTCACTGTGGGCTTATAACAAGTTAGGCAGAATCTGAGTAATCCCAGAAACAAATGACACATCATTATCAGTAGTGTAGGATTTCATTCCTGTCATATAAACGTCTCCCAGCATTCCTCCAGTGAAACAACTTGAGCAATCAATGAGTTTTGAAATGAGATGCTTGATGTGGTCCCAATGTGAACCGTCACTGGGGCATGAGAGGCTGAGAGAAGTTCTTCCACTTTGCCAGCAAAGTCAATGGGCTTTCACAGATGACAGCAAATTATTTTCACTCATCTCAGTCCTCTGAGACCTTGTAAAGCCCCAAGGTGTATAGAGTCATTACACCTCGTGTTATTATTGAGTATTTTAATGGAGAATACATTGATATGAAATTGTACAAAGTACCGTATTTTCCGGACTATAAGCCGCTACTTTTTTCCCATGCTTTGAACCATGCGGCTTATGGTGCGGCTTTTCTGAAGATTTTCCTTCACCTGCCAGGGGGCGTTTTAGCAGATAATGAAACAGGTGGAAGTCAAAAGTGAAAATCGAAGAAAGTGCTCATTTTAAGTTAGCACCTGCAAGCAGCCGGCACGACGAAGGATTTTTTTTTTCAAATCCATACCCCCTCATCATGGTAACTACACGTATGAGTTCATATGTTGTCGCATTTAAGTTGAAGGCCATCGATCTGGCAGTGAAGGAGGGAAACAGTGTTGCAGCACGTAAGCTTGGCATGAATGAATCCATGGTTCGGCGCTGGAGACGGCAGCGGGAAGAACTCATTCAAGCCAGCTTCACCCAGGAATGATGACAGCAACACGGACAGCGACACTGACATCGCCACAGAAAAGGTATGTGACGAAGCTCTTCTGAGGCTGCTCAACTCCGACACTGAAGAAGAGGACTTTAATGGCTTTAGTGCGCAAGAGGAAGATGAGAGCGAATGACTTTTTCTGGTAGGCAAGTGTGTTTTATTTACTAACCAGGCATGTTTTGTGTGCAGTTTTTATTTTCTAATCATCCAGGGCTTATTAATGCTGTGTCAGCGCTGTTCTTTTCTTCTAAACATGCATGCAAATGACCGGTAATAACGTGTCAGTTCTGTTTTTATTTTATAACCATCCAGAAATATGAACGCTATCAGTGCTGGTTTCTCTTCTAAACTTGCAGGCACGTTCACCCGTGTTTAAAATTAGTTTTGTTGAATTAAAACGACAACGAAAAACCTCAGTGTAGAGTCTTTCTGCCTAATTATCTTATGTTATGGCCAGACATGCGCTGTGCGACAGACAGACAGACAGACAGACAGATAGATAGATATTTGGTCCTTCGAAAGCCGGGGTCCCATCACCTTGCAGTGCCAAATGCCGTCGCCGGAGGACTGTCGACAACCTAATCTCCTCCAGCGCTGAGTTTTGCTGGGGGGTCGGTGAGGTTTTGACGTTGCTGGGAGGAAATGCGGATCCACGAACTACTTAAGACCTGAGTGGAGAGATTTGGTGAGACAAGTTTGTTGTTTGTTTGTTTGTTTGTTTGTCTTTGTGGTACCGAGAGAAACCCCTGGTGACCAGAGGTTAAATTGGCTTTTGAGCGTTTTAGCGGGAAAATATAAAAGCAACTAAGCAGATTCCTGGAATGCTGTTTTGGTATGGTTGAGAGATGATTGGACCGGCGTGATAACTGAGAGGCGGCCTAAGTGAGAGGTGGCCTGGCTTTTGAGCGTTTACTGTAGCCTTAAATAGAAACGCAACTCCAGTTGTCATTGTTGGTTGTGTGGTCAGAGAGAAAGATAAACAGATTCCGGAGAGGCTGTACTGGCTGGTTTTTTGAGCATTTTTGCCGAAATATAAACGCAACTCTGGTGTGATGAAGTTATAAATGAATAGACCTGTGTGATAGCTGAGAGATTAAATTGGTTTTTGAGCGTTTTAGCAGAAAATATAAACGCAACTCTGTTTTGGCCTGGCTTTTGAGCGTTTAGCCTTGAATAGAAACACAACTCTAGTTATCTGTGTTGTTGTTTGTTTGTCTTAGATGTTGTCTGCTTTAATTGTTGTTTGGACAAATGAGAGAGTGTATGGATTTGCTTTGTACATGTGGTATCTATGTATGGGGTAAAATAACTCACAAACACCTTTTGAATGAAGATGGTACATTGATGGAAATGTAAATCCAGCAAATGGGGAAATGATCTGAAAATCATCAGAGGATTGATGGAAAACATGTTTCGCTGGTATTTTGGTTACCGCTGACGTGTTGTACTTGCAGGGTAACCTTAAAGTGAGATAACACAAGAGAGAAAAATGAGAAAATTACAAATGTTGTGATTATTAGCCAACGAATAATTTGTAAGCTTTACTTACTTTTTTGGATTCATCAATAAATTCGTAAATATGGAAATATTTACCGATCTGTTATGTAATTAGGAAATCCTTGGATGTCCTCGGGGCACCATCCCCTTTTTACAGGGGAAGATGAATCCACACCTCTTATCAATCTTGTCCAAACTTTCTGTGAAATCTTTAATGAGCTGCAGATAATTTTATATCAACACAAACAAACTCACTTGAGACAAATGCTTAATTAGCAATGACCTTTATTAACTAATATATTCACTTCAGCTCCTTCCAAAGTGTTAGCTAATTAATATCCACCAACTTATTTTATCAAATCAATAACAAGTAATTAAACAATGGAATGATAATGTGAAATACTAATCTGATAGGTAGGGTAACAAAATGGAGGTAGTTGAAACAAAATGGCTGGTCCCGTTGTCTGAGGGAGCAAGGACCCGACCGTGTATGTGGGATGTCTGTTTCCTCCCAAACACGGAAAACCAGAATGTGTGTGTGTGTGTGCGTGTGCGTGCGTGCGTGCGTGCGCGCGCGCGTGTGTGTGTGTGTGTGGGCAACTTTCACTTTAAACTTCCGAAGCACGTTCAATCAAAGTAAAACTTAACAAACTTCAAAACCGCTTCACAAAGATCAATAAACAAAACAAAAGATCAATCATAAACTAAATATCTAATAGTTTGTCAGCCTGGCCACAGCATAAAACTACTTAAGATATTAAACAATGACAAAAACAAAACGGCTTACTCTAAAGATGATCCGATGGCGTGTTTTGGTACGGAGGAGAGACCGTATTTACCTTAAAGCAATTGCGCGGTTTGATCGCTTGTTCTGAACTTATTAGAGAAGCAGAAGAGAAAGAGAGAGAGAGAAAAAACTTTGAACAAATGAACAGCGAGGCGTCCCTCAGTGTTCAATCGGCGTTCTCCATTGCTTCCAGTAGCTCGGTGTTCCATCCACTTCAGCAGCTAGGCCTCGTGCTCATGCTGTCCGGAGCGGTAGCAGAACGGGTTCCTCTTCACGCCAGTTGAAACTGGGACAAAAGAGGCATACGTTTTGTTCTTCGCTGGGATTTATAGCTTTTCAGCGGCGGGAGGAAGCTGTGGGTTCCAGGGTGTCATGTTGCAAGGGTGTGGAGATGATGGACCATGTGTGGTGGAGAGTTCCAGGAGGCAGGAATGCAGGCACGGATAAAGTAAAAATGGGTTTAATGACAGGATACGGCAGGAATGAGAACAACACGACAAACAACAATGATCTGACAAAGACTGGCACAAGGAGGGAGGTATAATACACAGGGAAATCAGGAACACATGGGCAGGTTAACGAGGGGCAGGTGAGAGCAATAAGGGCTAATCAGGGCAGGAGAGAGACACAGTCAGGAAGGCAGGGACCGAACGTGACAGTACCCCCCCCCCCCCCCCTTAAGGGGCGGATACCAGATGCCCACAAGGCCACATAACACAGGAGACTAGGGAACACCAGAACACTGAACTCGGGGGCACAGGAAACACTTGACTGGACAGGAAACACTTTAACTGCAGCAGCCGGGCGTGGGACCCAGTAGAGACTGCAGGAGCAGGCGTGGGACCAGCAGAGAACTGCAGCAGCAGGTGTGGGACCCAGCAGAGACTGCAGCTTGAAGGACCTGCAGGCATAGACCCTGCAGGCGTGGACCCGGATGTGGGACGAAACAGCAGGAGCGACGCGAGGAAACCAGGAGCGGTAGCAGGTATTCGTTCAACAGTCCTGAGCAGGTGCACACCATGACTCGACTGGATCCA